TTGATTGACTATTTGTTGGGGCCTTCAAAGACCACTTAAATCCCTTTTATGAAATAATTAAGATCCATAAATTCCCCATATTTTACCTTTCAACTGATGGTTAAATTATTTTAAATGTTATTGTGTTCTCACTAAATTATTTTCTCATTAATACCTGGGAAAATGCCTTGCTAATATCCGGTATTTGACTGTGAACTGAAAGAACTAATCTCCAGCAACATTCAACACTAAATATCTCCATAAAAATCTATAGTTACTATTAAAAGTGATAAGTTGTTCCTGAATCGAACATTTCCACTAAGTCGCTCAGTGAGTTCATGTTATCAAGCGCCTCAGTGTGTGAATGACGGGACGCGAAGGCTGATCTTTGGACAAGGAACTGAGCTGAAAATACAAATCCGTAAGGTTTTAAGTTAGTTAAACAGAAATTAATTCAATCAGTAAAAACTCGCTAATGAACAGTTTAAAAAAAGTCCAAAAATACATTATTAAAATGGTAATGACTTTTAAGACCGTGGAGTTTAAATCATAATGTTAAATGATCACACTCATGGCTATAATATTAAATAAAACAGATATTAACAGTAAGTAACACAGCAGCAGCAGCAGTATGTGTTGATCAGTTCTTGGTAAAGCTCTCTCTGATGTGTGACTCAGACTGGAGCCCAAAAGATCTTGTTTGGATCAGGGATTCACATCTCAGTGGAAACAAGTGAGTCCGCTTTTAATTCATTAAGCAGCTTTTACTAAATGTACTTGGCTACATAGTCTGACAAAGAAATCATTATTTCCAACCAACAATTAACAACCAGAGTGACTGACAATATACATACTGCTAATACAATTTTAGTGTCTGCAAGTTTTTTTTTTCTTTTTTGATGAACCCAAACCAGTTACTGCTTGGCAATAATTATCTATTATCAGATAATAATCTGTAGTAATACTTCCAATCCAGCAACAATCCAAGTGTTGAGTGTGACGTGTGTTTTTGTTGGGGAGTCTGTGTGACAAGTGGATGGAAAATAATGTTTGGCCATGGGATGAAATTAACCGTGTGGCTGAGTGAGTTCTATTTATTCTATTAATTTGTTGCTTTTATTAAACAATAAAGCCACAAGACTGTTAATGTAATCACAGATTTATTTAAAATACACTGAAAGTACACTATTGATAATATACACTAAATGTGTTGTAAATCTTAATAATAAATATGAATCTTAGTATAAATCAAAATAGGTAAAATATGTTAAGTTTATTGAGAAACATGAACAGATGTGTCAACAGCATAATTAAGTATAATAAAAGCTCTGCAGTAGTTTTTGAATACTGTTGACTGACTGTGTGAATAGAAACAACGACAAACTCATTTTTGGATCTGGAATCAAACTTAATGTATTGTCACGTAAGTGCATTTTATAACATTTATGATAAAAACCTAATAACCTAATAATTACTAATAAAAATCATTAAGGTTTTTTGTGTACACGTTCCTTTAGTAATTTAACATTTTAGACTTACCGTTCTCAAGTCACTATCAGATGATTACATTATTATTTTTATCGCACATTTTATTCATAACTTCTTTCTAATATATTTATTTTAAACATGAAACAACCTACTGCCACTTCTTTTAATTATAAATGTCTGAATAAGTTATTCAAATTTGAATCAGTTTAACTTCAGACCCTGATATTAGAGGTTTTTTTTAGAATTAACAGAGATAAAATAAAACATTTAATGTCTCTGAATAATAATTTAAAAAACCTTTATAAAATGAAAACTAGCTGTGTCAAACATCTCTCACTCTCTGAGGTGTTTTTGCTGCCAGATAAATCTGTGTGTGAATAACAACAGGATTGTTTTTGGTGACGGAATTAAACTTATTATTGTGACAAGTAAGTGCAACTAAAGAAAACATTATTAGAATACAATTATTTCATTCATGTGTTAATATAAACTGCCACTCACATTGTCTTTTTCACAATCTGCTGTTAAAGTTGTATATGTGTCACTGTTCACTCAGTTTGACTAAAAACTTGATTCTTTTCAAATAATGATTAAAACAAAAATGTTCGTCTCACAATACAAAACATCGAAAACATCTTAAAAGATTTAAAACCATTTTAATAGTTTTTATATTTTAAATCATTTTCATGTTGAAGATTAAATGTACAACCATCAAGAACCTAAATGAGCAGAAACTGTTCAACGGTACAACAATGTGTGACACAACTTGCAGCCGGCAAACTCATATTCGGTGCTGGAACAAAACTTTGGGTAGAAAAAAGTGAGTTAACAAATTTCATTACACATCACACATTAAGGTATTTAGATAATTGTAGAGTTTTCCATCATGTCTCATTATCACAGCAACTTTGAAACCAAAAATAAAGTGAAATAAAGTATGTTGGTAACTCTATCCGGTGGATATAAAATATAATTTGGCATCAAATTAACTGAAATGCCAGTCAGGTCGGTGATATTCTCTTCACTATATACGGTTGTACTATATAGTACTAACACACAACATTTATTGAGCTAATAATAAATTCTTTAGTTGTAAAATAATACAAACTAGTTAAAACGAACAAACAGATGAATGCAGGCCAGATTCAAATCGATTAAATCATTAGACAATCAGTTTAATAGATACTTTATATTAAAGTACTGAACTGGTTTTTGTAACTGGTTGAGTTCCTGTGTGAATAACAACAACTTCAAAATCATATTTGGATCCGGAATCAGACTGTTAGTATTGTCACGTAAGTGTATTCACGTCTACATGAAATTAAATTGTGCAACAGATTTGCAAAAGTGCAAATGATCAGAAATTTGCAGTTCAATGCAAATTCAATGCCATCTTAGTGTTATTGCATGATGACAAAACAATTGTTTGGCATGACCTTAGTGATGGGTTCTAAATGTTTAGATGTAGCATTTAAGAGTATTTTAGTTACAAGGCTGTGCTATATTATGCCTCTTTATACAGGGATTGTTTTATTGACCAGACCCACTGATCAGAGGGTACTTTGCTGGTACATTAATGAAATGAGACCCACTGCATTAGAGAACTCTGTGTTGTTTCAATCTAATAACAACATTCTTGTATTACTAAAGTAGTCAACAAACACAAACTTTAATAACTTTTATAATTATCTTTCTCCATAATTTCTGTATATTTAAAACATAGGAGTTATTTGTATTAGAATATACAACTCACAATAAACTTAAACATAACCTGGAAACGTTTTAATAATTAAGAGGAATGGACAGGGACTTCACCTGCACCAATGAAAAGCAATACATACAGAAATGACAATATTTCACTTTGTACATCAAAAAGAAATCCAAAACATTTTCTATAAATAAAAATCCCATTCAGTTTGTTGAAAATATCTTTTTAAATATCTGTGCAGTCACATCAATGCTGTTGATGTGTTTTTGGTGCCAGACAAATCTTTGTGTGAATGACAACATTAGGACTATATTTGGATCTGGAATTAAACTTGTTATTCTGACAAGTAAGTGAGCTTATTAGTCCTCTACTGAAAACTAATAATAACAACATGATGCCACAAATCAAAATCCCTTTGTTAGATTACAGCACAAAAGTCCTAAATTTTATATTTTCCACTTATTGCAGTTTTATCCGATCAAAAACAATATAACAGTTTCAACTTTTCTTGTTTTTAAACTAAAGCTTAGTCTGAAAACGTCTTTCTAAGAGACTAAGAGACTAAGAACTGAATCGTTCAACACAACAACGTGTGACACAACTCGGAGTCAAATTCATTTTGGTGCTGGAACCAAACTTACTGTTGAAAAAAAAGGAGTTATCAAATTTTAAATATGTGTTTTAACATAATTTAATACCACAGTGACATTTTGTGTAAAAATGTCAAGCTAACTGTGACATGGACTAAAATTTTTTTATCTACTTTACTTTTTCTGAAATATAAGTCATGTAGCTTCATTCAGATAACGCTGAGTCGTTTTTGTATTCAGACAATCTACTGTGTGAATTACAACAACAACAAATTCCTGTTTGGATCAGGGTAGTAGTAAGTAAGTAGCAGTAAGTTATCAATAAAATATGCAGATAAATGTTGACATTTGTATTAGTGTTAGCATCTGTAATGCTTTAAATGTTTCTATAAGAGCATCAAATGTTTTTCTCTCACCATTTATTAAAGTTGTATCTCAAATGTTAAAAGTTAAAACCAAATATTTTCCTTCAAGTAAATAATCAGATATACTTCTATTTTTATCAATACTTACATTTAGTTAACTATATACTACTACTATACAACTGGTAAAAGTTTATTGTACATCAAATACAATGTGACACAAATAGATTACATATGGTATGTGGACAGTATGTTCGTACCCACATTGGCTTTTTAATATAAAAATACTAAATACTACACAATACAATACAGACAGGTAAGAGTATTTTTTATTAATGTATTACACCCAAACAAAGAAAAATATCGAACCTCATGTATTTGCACAAAATGAAAAAAAAAATTGTGTTTAAAAACAACATACAAACTTGGAAAACACAAACTTTGGACTTTTGATTGTATGAGTACTGAATGAAATGTGCTGTCATGTGTGAAAATACGCCTTAAGACAGTAAAATGTTCTAATAGATAATAATATGCACTTCAAGTTGATCTTTCAAAACTATAATAAAACCAAGTAAAAGGACTTTCTAGAAGTAGTCTGCTTTGGGTTTGTAATTATTAATCTTCATTTTTGAAGAAACCTTTAGTTGAAATGGATGTTTCAGACTGAGTTTCAATCACTGTGTGTTTGTGAGTGACGTCTCGTTCGTTGGAGCTTTCTTTTATGTATTTTGGGATGAAATGTTTTCTTCATCTGTTAAGTAATCAAACAGAGCAGCCCCAAAACTTCATCGGACCTAGATACATGGTTATGTTGGCGATGTTTGAACATTATTCCTTTATGTTTATGAGTTGTCCTTTTGTGTTTTTCAGAGGAAAAGTATGAGCCGTCCTACTACAAAGTGGGAAACGACAGCAACGCCGCTTGCCTGGCCACTGGTTTCAGCCAATACAATGCAGCAATATCCCGTGGAGACAATCTCTTTAATACGACGAATGCTATCCTGATATCAGGAGACAAGCTGTACAACCAGGTGGCTTTGTTATCAGGCAAAGAAGGCAAATGTGAACTAGGTAAGTGAGAAATAAATAGTAAAATTACTTAAAAATTTAAAAAGGATATTCAAATCGTAAATGATATCATCATAGATAAATTCAGCAGTAAAGGAACGTGTTTGGCTGCTTATTAATTATCACTGTCAAAACTAACAAACTTCTATCTTTTAACTACCTTTCAGTGGAAAAAACTGAGGAGAAGTGTGAAGATACGATTGAACCAGGTTTGTATTAAATCTGACTAACAGTTGGTTTTTGGTTTCAACCGCTCTGTTAGTGTTTTAGTTTAATCTTTGTGATGATGTTGTCTTCAGATCCAATGGTGAACCTCATGGCTCTTACGATCATCGGCCTCAGACTGCTCTTTCTCAAGACCATCGTTTTCAACGTCCTGATGACTTTTCGACTGTGGATCAGTCAGTGTGAGTACCAAACTACATGACTCTCACAAATACCATCATTTCTCAGACAACCTTGTTTAACAGACAGGATTGTATTGTTCTCTGTTGTCTGATCAGCTCCTGTTTTACTTGCTGTTGATACAAACTCAACACCTCCTCCACGTTTACATTGATAAATTCAGGTTCATCAATATGACATATTTAACTCACCCAAAAGAAATAATCAGTGGTCAATATTTTACTCAAACTGCAAGTACTATAAGAAAGAAAGCTTGATAATGATGATGATCTGAAAATATTTCCATTACTAACAGCAGTTTCTATATATTTCTATATCATCACTTTATATCATCTTTGTTGTTCACTTCTTATATGAAAACTTTATTGAACGCAATCTAAAAATGTGTCTTCGGTTTCACCACGAGACCTGTCACAAAAAACAAGACATTCAGAAAAATGTATTCGCACACATTTTCAGGCATGTTTGACCTTCACTATGACTTTCTGCCAAACCAAATACATTTTAAATATATATGTTTTTCTTTTTCATTTTAAATATAATTTTTTATTGTATATAAAGGGGTAGTTTAAATAGATATGAAACAAGTGGAAAAAAGAGCTGCATCAATCAGTTAACAGAACCAGTTGATCCATTGATTGATTAATCGTTTAATCAACGTTTGAAAATGTCACCTTAGACTCTGAAATTTACTCTTTTACTCTCTGAGGTTTTATTGACTGCATGATTAATTAATAAATTGATCCCATAATCCTGCCCTTTCTTTTTAGGCTTTTAATGTGAAACCTATCCCAAGTCTTTCACATTTAAAAACTTCACTGACAGTAGCTTCACAGCAATAAAAAAGCAAAGTAGAATATTTAGTTTTGCTTTGTCCATCATTTCCATCAGTTATGATGATCTACTCATCAAAGTGTTGCTTTTGGATGGTTGCTCAAACCTCCGACTGGTCAGGTTCTTACTGTTCAGTGGTTGATTTAGTTTAGGGAAAGATGATTGGATAAAAATATCAGTGTGACTAGTTAAAATGGGACAAAATTGTGATTCTGATGTTGAAAACAAACACTTACACCTCCAACCATCTCTCCGACCTCACAGCTTCTGTACACTACAGAGTCATCCTGTGTTGACTACAAAATCTTACTGATTTCCTTTCCAAAATATCTTGTGATGGAAACGTAATTTTTGCCGGGATTAGATAGTGGGTTTGATTAAATATTTGAATAAAGACATTTTTCCTGTCTCTTTCAAGCTACCATCCTTCCTAACCAAAAGCTTTAACTGAATCATAAAAACGTTCATGATGCTTCATTTTCCAGATATGAATATTGAAAAAAGCCCAAAAAAAGATTTCGTACAAAACATACCTGCAAGTATACAAACAAATAGGGTTGCCATTATGGACATGATTTACAGTACAGAGGAAGGACACACGAAGACTGAATTTTCGTCCACGAGACATAAAACAAGTCCAGTTTATCCCGATCATCTAAACCACTGATGTGGAGGAAAAAACCAAGGTGAACATCAAAGTTACTACCTGGAACTTTTTGTTGTAAAGTCCATTGGAGATGTGTTATGGTTCTACTTTGACGTTTTGTGTTTGTCATAGTTCTTTAGAACTCACTAATGGATGCAACATTGAGTTTATTAAAAGTTCCCAATCAGTGGCTTAAAAGGTTACATTGGACTTGGTTCCCTTTGGATGTTGTTGTCTCTGTATGGAAACACATGTTCATTATAAATATTCATTTGAATCCTGAAGCCTAAGAATGTACAGACAAAAGATACAAACAAAATAATATGCAAAAGGGTACCAAAGTTATTTTACATTTTTGGCTCTGCTTTGACTCCGTACATCATCATACATAAAACAGACAGAAACACTCACTCATTCACATTATCAGTGATTTCACGGTTTTCATCTTATTTTAGAAACCTACAGACTGGAGTTCATGCTCTATTGACAGGAGTTTTACAGATCAAGTGTTTTGCGTCCAAGTCTGTGTCTCTGGAATTATCATGTATACTAAAGCTGTTTTGGGTCACATTAATTTAATATTGTTCTAATTATCATGTTTTATCTTATAGAAACTGCTGACATTCACCAGAAAACAACTCCAAGAAGACGGATTCACAGGACGACTCTCTGATCTGTTCGATGAAACAGACGCTTCATTTCTTCCTTCATCTGCATCTCATACATCTGCATCATGTATAGTCGCATGTATAAATATCCTATCTCCTGTTAATCTGTTATTATCATACTGCTGATAGACATGAAGGTATCCTGTTAACACAACATAATACACGAAATCTTTACTATGTTGGAGAAGTTTTTTTTGTTCCGTTTGATGAATGAATTTCAACTCTTTCTGTCCTGCTGATGTAAATATCACAGTTACATTTAACAATCTGATTGTTTGCTATTTCCTGTGTGAAGTTATTATAATAAAGACTGTAAAAACAGACTGAATGACTGTTGTTTTTTATTCATAGTTTCTGTTAACATTGACTCCCTCACACAGACTACCTTGCTGTAATAATAAAAGTCAAAGTCAACCAATATTTTTCCTTTTTATATCATTTCTTCTGACCTTATTCAAAGACAACACATAGAAGCGTGTTTATTGCAAACTTTTACATTCCCACAAACTGGACATTATTCTGAAATGAGCATAAATAAGCATAAAACATTATTTCACCAATAAGGATTTTTTTCATGATATTAAAAACTAGGCAAAGTTGACAGAAGAAGCAGTCTTATGATCTACAGATGGATTACAGAACAGTCCCAGGGGCCCAAAGTCTCAAGAAAGAAGTGGGTAAAGTTTGAATCTAACATTTCTTTTTTTAAATATACTACAATCAGTTTTAACCGGTTAACAGTCTCAACCTACTCAAACAATCAATGAAACGAGGTGGTAGAAACACATGAATCTGAATCTCCTGTAACAGCCTCCATTGGGTTTGTGCATGAGGGCCATGCTGAAACAGGAAATATGCAGCCTAGACCCACTCTTTGTGAAAGGTGCCCTGAGATAACCTCTGTTATTATTTGGCACTATACAAATATAAATTAAACTGAATTGAAAGGGATAACAACACTGTTGCGTAAAGTATTATTATATGCTGTAAAACTAAAACGTCTCAAGGAAATTGAACCGAACGCAACTGGATTTGTTTTTTGTCTTTGAAGACTTTTCAC